CTATCCCTTGGAGTGTTTCGAAAACAAGCGACTTTCGCCCACCCCTTGGTCGAAGTGTTCCGAAAGCGAAGGACTTTGGTCTTGGCACTTGCCCACCCCAAGGGATGTTCTGAAAACATTGTGGTCATCTAGCCCAGAGGCGTGGACTTTGTCCACCACATTCCCATCCCTCGTTGTGTTCTAAAAACAAGCGACCTTCGCCCACCCCTTGGTCGGGGTGTTCCAAATGCGAAGGACTTTGGTCTTCTCACTTGCCCACCCCAAGGGATGTTCTGAAAACATTGTGGTCGTCCAGCCTGTAAGCCTGGATGTTGTCGACCACATGCCCATCCCTTGGAGTGTTCCGAAAACAAGCGACCTTCGCCCACCCCTTGGTCGGGGTGTTCCGAAAGCGAAGGACTTTTGTCTTGCTTTGAATGACATCGAGCAGGGATTTCGTCCGTGGTTCCACGCATATTCAACAAGAAATTCCAAGGAAATTGTATAAGTGATCGGCTTGTATTATAAGTATCGAATTTAGAATTTATGTAACCACACATAAAAATTGGCGAATCTTGCTTTAATCATTTCCAGGTGAATTGTGACTATGCCGTTAAATAGATCAAACCAAACTTGTAAATGACATGTTGCGAGAAGTTGATGGTAGATATGGGCAGGAATTAGTAAGATAGAAGTTGACTATTTTTGCAATCCTTGAACGAAAACTCTCTTCGAAACTACATTAATTCAATTTGCTCAAGCATAAAAAGGAAACAAAACAGTTCACACGTAATATTTTTTAAGATTAGCTACGTTCCACGACCTGGCTAGTGATCTGCCCTCAGCGTCCTTCAGGGAATATGCTCCTCTTGCATGGACCTTTTCGACCAAGTATGGTCCTTCCCAATTAGGCTCCAGTTTTCCTACATATTTGAGCACGTCCACCCTCTTCCAGACTAGATCTCCCACCTGAAACCGGCGGATTTTCACTTTCCTGTCATGGGCTGCTCTCATCTGTTGTTTATACACCTCTACTCTGGTCGAGGCTTGTTCCCTGAGTTCTTCGATCGTGTCGAAGGCAATTACCATGAGCTCTTCATTCTGCTCCCGGTCATAAGTGCTCGCTTGTTGGGATTGCAACTCTAGCTCGACCGGCAACAGTGCCTCCATCCCATAGACCAGGCTAAAAGGTGTCTCCCAGTGGTCGACCTCAGGGGTAGTTCTGTAGGCCCAGAGTACGGACGTCAGCTCATCGACCCACAGCCTCGAAACTTTTTCCAGTCTTGTCCTTAGCCCGTTCAATATAATCCGGTTGGTCACTTCCACTTGTCCATTAGCTTGCGGGTGGGAGACAGAGGCAAAGTGTTGCTCGATCCCCATCTCTTCGCACCACGCCTAACCCGCTTGCCATTGAATTGAGTTCCATTATCAGATATCAGGACTTTGGGAACCCCGAACCGACAGCAAATGTTGTTATACAGAAATTGTATTACTTTATCCTCAGTGATCTTGGCCAGTGGTTCAGCTTCCACCCACTTCGTAAAGTAATCGACCGCCACGATCAAGAATTTGCGTTGCCCTGTTGCCTGCAGCATCGGCCCCACCAGGTCGATTCCCCACTGCGCGAATAGAATTGGTGCACTCATGTTGGTCATCGTCTCAGCGGGTTGGTGGATAAGCGGGCCGTGTTTTTGACAGTGCAAGCATCTCTTGGTCATCTCCTTGGCACCCGCCCTCATTGTCGGCCAGAAATACCCTGCTCTCAAAATTTTCGCCACCATGGCTCCTGCCTTGCTGTGGTTGCTGCAGCTTCCTTCATGAACCTCTCTGAGTACATATCGACCTTCTTGCTTGGTCACACACCGCAAATATGGCCCGGCATACGACCGCTTGTAAAGAATCACTCCTTGTTCGAAAAACCTCCTCGCAACTTTGACTGTTCCTTCTCTCAGCTCTTTCAGGATCAAAGCCTTCCAGTCTTCCACTTCCTCGATCTCCACCACTTCTGCTTCGACCAAACTTTTTTCCATGTGGAGCAGGGTCACACTTCTGCTTTTACAGTCTACAAAATTTTGAGCGATTTTAGACAATAGATCGGCTCGACCATTCTCTCCTCTTGGTATTTGCATTAACTCGAATGACCCAAATTCTTCTTTCAGCCTCTTCATATCGTTTACATAACGCTGCAGCCAGTCTTCCTTGATCTCGAAACCCTCTTGGAACTGTCCGACCACCAACTGAGAATCAGAGTGGACCTGGATTTTCCGAGCACCGCCGACCAGAGCTAGCTGTAGCCCCTTTATCACCGCCTCGTATTCTGCCCCATTGTTCGATATCCAAAACCCTATTTTAACAACAAACTCCAAGTAATCTCCCTTGGGCAAAACCAGGACTATGCCCAAGCCCGCTCCACTTCTCGAGACTGAGCCATCCGCAAACAATTGCCACATTTCCTCCATTTGCTCCTCCTCCTTCGTACCCTCCTGAATGAAATCGGCCAGAACTTGCGCCTTGATCGCCCTCCTTGGCTCATAACGGATAGAGTATTCACTTAGTTCGACCGCCCACTTTACTAGTCGACCGGATACTGCTGGTCGGCCCAAAGTCTGCTCTAGAGGCATGTTCGTTCGCACCTTGACTCTATGTTTTAGGAAATATAGTCTCAGCTTTCGAATTATCACAACCACCGCCAAAGCACATTTCGCAATCTCTGAATACCTCAACTCTGCTCCTTGCATTACTCGACTGACATAGTATATTGGGAACTGTGTTACCCCCTCCTCTCGTAACATCACCGAGCTTACCGCATTCTCTCTCACTGATATGTAGAGCACGAGTTCTTCTCCATGTACTGGTTTAGCTAGCTGGGGCAAGTTTGCCAGCACCTCCCGCAACTCCTCGAAAGCTTTCTGGGCTTCCTCCGTCCATTGGAATTTCGAGCTCTTCTTCAACGTCCTGAACAGAGGACCACTCTTCTCAGCCACTTTGGAGATGAATCTGCTCAACCCTGCTATTCGACCAGTCAGTATTTGAACCTCCTTCACACTGGCAGGTGGCTTCATCTCGATCACCGCTCTCACCTTCTCAGGGTTCACCTCTATTCCCCGCTTCGTCACCATGTATCCTAAGAACTTCCCTGCCTTCACACCAAATGAGCACTTGGCTGGATTAAGCTTCATGCCATACCTTCTTAGCGTTTGGAAAGTCTCCCTTAGGTCGCCCACATGATCCGCCTCCATTCTGCTCTTCACAAATATGTCATTGACATATACCTCCATATTTCTTCCCAACTGAACTTTGAAAATCTGGTCGACCAACCTTTGGTAAGTAGCCCCGGCGTTCTTCAATCCAAATGGCATAACCATATAACAATAGATGCCTTTGCTCGTTATAAAGCTCGCCCTCTTCCAATCTTCCTTTGCCAAGGGGATTTGATGGTACCCTTGCGAGGCATCCATTAGGCTGAACAGTTCGCACCCCGCTGTGGAATCTACCAGTTGGTCGATCCGTGGCAGTGGGTATAGATCCTTCGGGCTGGCCTTATTCAGATCGCGGAAATCGATGCACATCCTCCACTTTCCTCCTGATTTGGACATCATCACCATGTTGGATAACCATTATGAGAATTGAATCTTCTTGATATGCCCGACGTTTAACAATTTCTCGACCTCTTGCTCGATTATTCTGTCTATTTCCATGCCGTGGTGTCTTCTGTGCTTCACTGGCCTCACACTAAGATCAATATTTAGCCTATGCTCGATTACCCTGGCCTCGATCCTCGTTAGTTCCTCTGCCGTATACGCGAATATGTCCGCAAACTCCCTTATCAAACCGACCAGCCTCGACCTGATCGGCTCTCCTAGATCCTTTCCAATTCTAAACTTTCGATCATCACTCCCCTATACCATCTGGATTTCCTCGATCTCACCACCAGGCTGTATGTCCATCTTCTCTTTTCCCTTATCTTGCCATCCGTTCTCCTCCTTCAACCTCGACCCTCCTGGTCGATCAGGCCTTTCTTTCTCGCCTTTCAATTGCTTTTTCGACATCTGCTTATTTTGGCTGACTGTGGTTTGATAGCAACTTCTCGAAGTGAGTTGGTCCCATGCAATCTCGCCCACATTTTCACCCACAGTATATTTGATCGTCATGTGGTATGTAGACATGACCGCCTGGAACGCATTCAGCCCTGTTCGCCCCAAGATGATATTATACGACGACTCTGCACCGACCACCACAAAGCGTACCATCCTGAATTTCCGAGTATCACCCGACCCCAATGCCACAGTTAGACTTACCTCGCCCATTGGCATCATCTCTCCTCCGTTGAAGCCATACAAGGCCGTCGCTACTGGTTTCAATTCCAAATTTAAATGCTTGTTGATTTGGGCGAAGCAGTCATAGAACATCACATCGACCGAGCTCCCAGTGTCGATGAACACTCTCTTCACATCGAAACCTGCTATCTCTGCCGTGATGACCAGCGCGTCATTATGAGGCAGTAAAACCCCCTCCGCATCTTCTGCCCGAAAGCTGATTACCGACATTCGACCAGTTATCCCGACCTCCTCTCTCTTGCGCTTCATTGCTTGCACATGCCCCTTCCGTGCATTGTTCGAGTCTCCATCCGTGGGCCCTCCTGAAATCAGATAAATTGTGCCCCTCTTCGCGGGCATCTTCCCCCTCGGCTCCTCTCGACCATCATCCTGTCGCCTCCTCCTCTCCCTTCTAGTTTCGTCTTCTATGTCATCATCCCTATCACTCCTTGCCACTGAATCCTTCATATGCCTTCTTCTTTCCTTACCTCCTGGTCGATCACGGATGACGAATTCTTTCAAGTGTCTTGCCCGTATGAGACGCTCGATTTCGTCTTTCAAGTTCCTACAATCCTCCGTGTTATGTCCATAATCCCTATGGAAACTGTAGTATTTATTCGACCGGGGTTTGGTTGGTCCCTCAAACCTCGTCGCCGGCCACGTGTCCTCCTTGCTCTCCAGTTTTTCCTTCATGGCAGCCAAGACTTCGCCCACCTGGGCGTTGATAGGAGTGAAATTGTTGTATCTCTGACCATTTGGTAGCCGGGGTCGTCCTTGCCAGCGATCTTCTCGCCCCCAACGGAACGGATTTCGCCCCTCTCTTCTGGGCGACAGCTTTTTAGATGAGCCAACTTTTGGAGAATTCTTTCTAGATGACCCCCTCCTGGGCGAGCTCAGCCTTCCCTTCCCTTGCTCAGGTTTCACCACCTCCTCAAGCTTGGCAAACTCAGCCTTCGTTTCTTCCAAATTAATGTACTTCTTGCATCTTTGAAGCACCTCATTGTAAGTTCGAGCAGGCGTCTTCGCGAATGACGTTCGACATGGTCCTGGTCGCAGACTCCTAATCAATCCTCCCGCCTTCACTTCGTCGCCCGCCGTGGGTACCTCTAAGCACATCTGATTGTATCGAGCAACATATTTCCGCAGAGACTCTTTCTCGCCTTGTCGCATCGCCATTAGTGTGGAATACGTCTTCTCCTGTGCGACCGCACTTGAATATTGATTGGTAAGTTGTCCTGCAAAATCCTCAAAGTCTCTGATCGAACCGGGAGCTAATTGGTGGAACCAGTCGAGTGCGCCTCCTCGTAAGGTCGACAGGAAAGCCCTGCAACTGACCGGATCTGAGTACCCGTGCAAGACGGACATGTTTTCAAATGGCCTCACATACCTCGATGGATCGCTCGACCCATCGAAAATCAGATTTATCTCCCTAAAACTCGCAGGCAGTAGTGCAACTAGAATTTCCCTCGAGAACGGGTGTCCTCGAGCACGCCTGTCCGGCTTTCCCTCCACTTTCTCTTGCAGCTGCTGGAGCTGCTCAGTCATCCTCTCCATCGCCCTATCTCTGGGCTCTCCCCCTCCGCCATAACTCGACACGTCCTCCTCTTGAGTCCCTGGTACCGTGGTCGGTGTGGTAGTAGCCTGGGATGTCTGGTGAGTGACCTGCTGCACAACTTGCGTCGCCGTGTTGGCCATCATCCTCTGCATCTATTCCCTCGTCATGGTCACCATTTGTTGAGCACGGGGTTGAGGAGCTCCTCATGTTGGTGGCGCCATCGTCTGCACCAATGGTCCAACCTGTTGCGCCACAATCGGGCCTGCCTGCAACGGCGCGAGGGGCGCCGTCGGTGCTGCTTTACGAGCTTCGTGTTCTCTACTCGTGCCTTCTCCTCCACCTAGAATTGCCGCACTCTGAGGCATCGACGTTGGGGTCATCGGTGTTTGTGACGGCCCGGAGAAACCAGGTGGAGGTCTCGCTCCCATCGGTCTTGTTGTCGTCTACGCTTCATCAAACGACAACTGTAAATTCACTCGAGGAACTCCGTCTGCCATAATTGAGCTCAGAACACAACTTTTCGAATGAAAAGTCCCACATACGGCGCCAATAATACAAGTCTCACCCCGACCGACTGGAAATTGCTTCAAGCTCGTTCCCCTCGCCGATTGAACGCGAAACCTACACGAAACTCCCACACCGGAGGTGTTTTCCGGTGAAGAGCCTCCAACGCTCAAGTCAGATCTTGAGAGGTAAAGATGTATGTGTAAATATGTTAGAGTATGAGAAAATCGTGTTGTAAAGTGAGGATTCTCGTCCCTATTTATAGGAACGAGCTACCTGTTTACACGCGCGGGTAGAGCGAGTTTGGCCAACCACTATCCTTGACCTCTGGGAACGCGTCCAATTTGTCAGAGAATGTGAGAGTTCGTTATAGCCATGGGCCACTCATAGGATACCGCGTGTCCTCCTTTCACGTGCTGGAGATTCCTGCTGCTCGACCAAGTCTGTACGACCACGCCCTATTTGACTATCCTTCCTCGACCAACTCCTCGAGTAGCCGGTGCTTGTCGACCACTTCTGAACTCACTCATCTCTGTTGTCTGCTCTCTGTCCTTTGTTGCAGGTGCCTGGTCGGGTTCAACCATACCATTTGACCCGTCTTATTTAGCTAACCCGATGAACCAGTCTATTATATAATATCCCATATCAGATACCTTATTATATAAGTATAGATAACTTCAAACATAAATATTCTTATAGGTAACATACAACCATAAACGTAAATAAATTTTGTATTGAGGATGTATATTTAACACTTTATCAAGACCGTATACTTATCAAAATAGATTCGAGAAATTAATATGAAAATTGAGGTAGCCATTGTTTGTCTCATCTTCCTCTGTTAGTGGTTTTGTGAATATTGTATTTTTGGTATAAATAGATTTTAGTATCTTGGAGATTTTGGTGTAGATTGTTTTTAGGGCTTCCTTTGTATCTTTATATTTGACTCTTGTAAATATCGGTGAAACAAGTTTTTTGGGGAAAACAAATTGTTTTCACGTATTCTGTCATGGTATCAAAGCCCGGTTAATTTTTTTTCTCTCGGATCTCAAGTCTCGATCAACTGAGAATCATTTGCTTTCTCTCTTTCTGTTGTTCTCTCTGATTTTTTTTTTTTTCAAATCTCAAGTTTCCTTTGGATTTGTGAGTGGCGTGAGTGTTCTAACGCGAAAAAAAAAACTTTGGTTATTGGGATTTGTTTTTTGCCGTGAGCAAAAGTTTTCAAAAAAAAAAATGAATAAATAATAAAAGAATGCGTGAGTGAGTAAAAAAAATTCAATTAAAGTTCCCAACGTCAATTATGGGGGAACGAGCTAGTCATGGCGGACGCGGTGACGGACCAGCCGCTGTCGGCCTTGTCAACGCCGCGTTCGCTAACGGGGCTGCACTTAGTACCTCTGGCTCCATATATGGCGAGCCAACATCCTTATTGACGAACTCCGATCGTGCGACTATTCCTGGGTTAACTGATGCCCAATGGAAGTCTATTTTACACCTCGTCATTTATGCCCGCAACAATGCTCCTTTGTCCGGTAAGTGTAGTCTTAATGAGTGGATGTATGATAGCGGTGCTTCGCATTATATGACAGGCTACTTGGATTTTTTTTTTTTTCTGATATTCAGGATATTCTGTCCCGGACTATGCAGTTACCTAATGGCACGCTCACCACTGCGTGTAAAGCTGGAACTGTTCATCTTGGTTCTCATATTATTTTATATGATGTTTTATTCGTTGACAGTCTGCAGTGCAGCTTGATATCTTTATCTCAGTTGTTGGAACAA